GCCTGCCTGCCTGCCTGCCTTCCTGCCTGCCAGCCTGCCTGCCTTCCTGCCTGCCAGCCTGCCTGCCTGCCTGCCTGCCTTTCTGTCTCTTTGTCTCTCTTGGTCTCCCCTCCCTCCCTCCCCCCTCTCCTTCATATACATTAGTTGTACCTGCAGGGGTTTCATTATTACATTTCCACACATGTATACAATATATCCTCTGAATAATTGTGTGTGTGTGTGTGTGTGTGTGTGTGTGTGTGTGTGTACTGATGAGCTCAAACTTCTTCCCTTCTTCCTTGGCTTTTTCTCTTTAAAGCTGGCACCTTAGCACTTGAGCCACAGTTCCACTTCTGGCTTTTTGCTGGTTAATTGGAGATATAAAAGAGTCTTGCCAGGCGCTGGTGGTTCACGCCTGTAATCCTAGCTACTCAGGAGGCTGAGATCTGAAGATCGAGGTTCAAAGTCAGCCCAGGCAGGAAGGTCCATGAGATTCTTATCTCCAATACACCACTAGAAAACCAGAAGTGGTGCCGTGGCTCAAGCAATAGAGCGCCTGCCGGGGGGGAGGGGGGAGGCTGGGAAGGGAGGTGAAGGGTAAACAAAGGAGGAGGCTGCAATGCTTGGTAAGAAATGTATGCATTATCCTGCCCATGTAATTGTAACCCCTCTGTACAGTATGTTCTCAAATAAAATAAAATTAAATTAAAAAAAAAATAGAGCGCCTGCCTTGAGCTGAAGAGCTGAGGGATAGTGCCCAAGCTCAGAGTTCAAGCCCCACAACCAAAAAAGACTCTAACACACTTTTCTGCCCAGGCAGCTTTGAACTGTGATCCTCATGTCTTAGTGACTCCGATCTGTGTAGCTAGGAATACAGATGTGAGCCACGGGCACCAGATTTGATCTGTGACTTAACTTTATGGATTTGAATAACTCCTTGAGGAGCCATCAAACAAGGTAAAATGAACAAACAACACTGAGAGACTTTGAATGAATAGGAGAAGACAGAGCTGAACATAATTTCTGGCTGACTTACTAATTCTACCCTACAGCCAAAGTTAACTTTTGAGTCTAAGGAAATAGTTTATTAGTCCCCTACACTGGTAGTGAGGCAAAGAGCTGACTTGAGCTTTCCTGACTATTTCTGCCCATAAAGTGTGGCATAGATGTAATATTACATATTACATATAACTCTGAGTCTATCCCATGACCACTAGATTCTTTTGCACCTGGTGTAACTTGTAGCATAGTTTACACAGCACTATGTGTTACTGGAAGCAAAATGGTACCAGAAACATCCTGACAGATAAGTGCAGAGTTTTCAAACTGTGGGTAAAGACCTATGAATGAATCATGAAATTAATTGTAGTGGATGGCAACTAGCATTTTTCTAAGAAAAGAACTAGGGGGAAAAATCTGACTGTATTTCATATAAGAAGGAATTGTTGGGGCTGGGAAGGTGGCTTAGTGGGAGAGTGCTTGCCTTGCATGCATGAGGCCCTGGGTTCGATTCCTCAGCACCACATAAGCAAAAAAAGCCACAAGTGGCGCTGTGGCTCAAGTGGTAGAGTGCTAGACTTGAGCTGAAGAGCTGAGGGACAGCGCCCAGGCCCAGAGTTCAAGCCCCATGGCAAAAAAAAAAAAAAAAAGGAATTGTTGCCAGGTGCTGTTGACTCACATCTGTTAATCCTAGCTACTCAGAAGGCTGAGATCTGAGGATCACAGTTCAAAGCCAGCCCCACTAGGAAAGTCCATGAGACTCTTTTCTCCAATTAACCACCAGAAAATGAGAAGTACAGCTGTGGCTTCAAGTGGTAGAGTGCTAGCCTTGAACACGAAAAGCTCAGAGATAGAGCCCAGACTTTGAGTTCATGCTCCACAAATAATTTTTTTAAAAAGGTACTGTTTTGTGGAATGTTTAGGTGAGTTGTACATGTGCAAATTGTACTGGGAGTAATGCAGTATTTGTTCCTGTATGTTGTAAGTTCAAAACACTTGAGAAGTCCTGAGATAGAAGACAATTTATTCTTCCCCAAACATTTTTACCCATTGTTTGGTAAATGGATTGCTATTGCAATCTAGGACCTAGGACTTGGGACTGAATATGCTTAGCAAGTACTCTACTGCTTGATCCGCACTTCCCACCCAGGGCTACATACAAAATATGATTTGTCTTACATAAGATTCCACTTTGCTGGGCACTGATAGCTCACACCTATCATCTTAGTTACTCAGGAGGCTTAGATATAAAGATAGAGATTCAAGCTAGCCCTGCCAGACAAACTAAGAAACTCTTTTTTTTTTTTTGGGTCCGGTCTTGGGGCCTGAACTCTGGGCCTGGGCGCTGTCCCTCAGCTCTTCAGCTCAAGGCTAGCGCTCTACCACTTGAGTCACAGTGCCACTTCCGGCTTTTTTCTTTTTGTTTATGTGGTGCTGAGGAACTGAACCCAGGGCCTCATGCATGCAAGGCAAGCGCTCTACCACTGAGCCACCTTCCCAGCCCAACTAAGAAACTCTTATCTCTAGCACCTGTTGCTGCAAGCCATAGTTTTAAGAATCACCATTACAAGCCTGCAATTTGGAGTAGAACATAGGTCAAGATCCATCATAAGCTCCTGGGCTGGCGCGCAGGAAATAAGCCTTTTCAGTGCTGGTGTCAGTGAGGTTAGATGCGAAATGTTTTCTCTCTTCTGCTCCAGACATTACTCTTAGAAAAAGGCAGCTGAGTCAGAAACTAGCACTGGGAGAGCACAGAGAGCATCCAGAGGTACAAATCAGCGGTTAGAATGTCCTTCTGGGAGGCTGGGAATGTGGCTTAGCGGTAGGGTGCTTGCCTAGCATGCATGAAGCCCTGGGTTCGATTCCTCAGTACTACATAAACAGAAGAGCCAGAAGTGACACGGTGGCTCAAGTGATAGAGTGCTAACCTTGAGCAAAAGAAGCTCAGAGACAGTGCCCAGGCCCTGAATTCAAACCCCAGGACTTGCAAAAAAAAAAAAAAGAATGTCCAGCTGGTTATGGAAATCCAGCCCAGAGATGATGTTTCTCCCTGCCCAAGCAACTCAACCAAGTGACTCCAGGCACCAACTGTGGAGGACATGATTGTCGTGGAGGGTGAATACACCCATGTATCCACTGGCATATTAGTGGATGTACATACATATGTATACACATACACACATATATGCACAGGTGTATTTCACATTTGTTTATTTATTGCTGGTACTGGGGCTGGAATTCAGGGGCTAGGCCATGTTTCTTAGCTTTTTCCCTCATGGCTGTTCTCTATCACTTGAGACATAGTTCCACTCAGGCTTTTTTGTTTGTTTGTTTCTTTTCTGGTTAGTTGAAGAGTCTTAGGGAGTTTCCTGCCTACGCTGGTTTCAAAGCATAATATCAAGTCTCAGCCTCCTGAGTAGTTTGGATTACAGGCATGAGCCACTGCCTATGTCTAATGCTTAAAACTGTTTCTTTCTCTTCTGTCTTTGTAGACATGTTTTCCTTGGCTCAGAAATATATGTGTGTTACTGGCACTGGTGGCTCACGCCTTAAGCCTCAGGAGGTTGAGATCCGAGGATTATGGTTCAAAGCCAGGCCAGCCTGGGTAGGAAAGTCTGTGAGACTCTTATCTCCAATGAATCACTAGAAAACAGGAAGTGGCGCTGTGGGTCAAGAGGTTCAGGACAGTGCCCAGGCCGAGAGTTCCAGCCCCATGGCTGACAAAAGAAAAAACAGAAAAAAAGAAAAGAAAAGAAAAAAAATGTGTGTGAGCACATACATATGTAAAAACACTATATGAAGAGGCATATATATATGTATAATATACATATATATGTAATCCACACACGTATAGTGTCCCCCTGCTTTTCACTCTCTTTTTTGCAGTGCTGGAGAGGAAACCTAGGACCTTGCATGATACTGTAATAGCTCATTCTACTACTGTATTACACCCTTGGGATATTGTCTATATCTTTAAATATTATAGTTAAGAGAGCTCAGGAGGGCAGCTCACTCTGCTTAGAGAAGAATTTTGTAAAGTCTTCTAATTCTTTTTATAATATAATTTTATTGTTATTATTAAGGTGCTGTACAGAGGGGTTACTATTTCACGTCAGGTAATGAGTACATTCCTTTTTTGGACAATGTCACCCTTTCCTTCACTTCCCCCAGTTTTCCCCTCCTATCCATGCCCACAAGTTACATAGGTCATTTTCCACATAGTGTATACGAAATAGCATGATTGCATTTGTTCACTCTTCCTCTTTCTCTTTCTTTTTTTTTTTTTTGTTGGTCGTGGGGCTTGAACTCTGGGCCTGAGTGCTGTCTTTCAGCATTTCAGCTCAAGGCGAGCGATCTACCACTTGAGCTAGGTGCGTTTTCTGGTGCTTTATTGGAGATAAGAGTTTCACGGACTTTCCTACCTGGGCTGGCTTTGAACCGCGATCCTCAGATCTCAGCCTCCTGAGTAGCTAGGATTACAGGCGTGAGCCACTGGCGCCCGGCTCTCTTTCTGTATTCCTCCTTTGAGCCCCAAAAGAAAAAACAAACAAACCCCAATCAAAAACAAACAGCGCCACCACTACCATCAACAACAATGGCAACAGAGAAAACCACGTCGCCATTTCCTGGAGGTCCTCCAATTCTTGCCAGAGGCTGCCAACTTGTTATCACTCATTAATTTATGGGGGTGCAGACCTTAGAATGATACTGACAGACTAATGGCCCTTATCTATAGTGGCAACTGCATTTAATTAAGCACAACCCTTTTAAAGCTTAGGTCCGTGACATACTCAGCCAAAAATACGGTTAATTTTTAAAATAAAAACAAAGAACAGAAAAATGCCTTTTTGAAAAAATAATGATCAATCCATCAGTCTTCCGGAGCAGCGGCGATCACGGGGTGACCAGGGCGGGGGGACCTCCTTAGCCCACAGGTGAAGTCGCAGAGACGGACTACAACTCCCAGCATGCCACGCGCGCACGAGAGCCCACGTGACCATCCGGAAGCCCTGGCCGCTGCGCGGAGAGTGAGGTGGCGCCGGGGGCGGCGCGAGGGTAGCAGACAGCGAGCGGCGGCCGGGTGTGCCAGCCTCCTGCGGGTGTCGTCGCGTGCGTGAGTCCGGGCGCGAGGGTGTCCGAGCCCCAGTGGGTGTGGGAGCGGAGGGGCTGCCCGGGGATCCCGAGGGCAGTGCGCGCGGGCGCTGGTGGGTGTGGTCGCCCCCATCCCCGACTCCCACCCGGTCGGGGCTCCTCGGGCCGGGCGCTGTGCCGCGGGGCCCGGAGGGCGCGGCGGGCGCGGGGGGGGGGGGGCGCGGCGGGCGCCGGCGGCCGGGGTCCGGCGCGCGCAGCTGCGAGGGCTTTTGTGCCCAGGCCGACCCGCCCTCTGGTGGGGCGTGGGGGGGGGGGGGTTGGACTCTGAGCGGCCGGTGTGGGCTCGGGAACGTGGCCTTCGCAGGTGGGGTGTGGCTCTCTTTGCAAAGGATGCCCCGAGGTCAGAGGAGGGGAAGGCTCGGAGCGCCCAAGCTGGATTGCTTTTCTAGAGTGATCTCCATCCAGGGATTTGCTCCAGTTACTTGTGGTCTCATTCCCCCATTGTGTTTGTGTGCTGCGTGTGCGTTCTGTCTATTCCCGATTTCGACTTGGGATAATGGGAAGGTGACCGCTGCTGCTCTGACGTTTGCTTATCTTGTGGTCATAATGCTTATGGCAAGAATAGTTACTGGGCTGAGCCAAATCACACCTTTTTATTATTATTATTATTTTTTTTTATTTTTGGGGGACAGGGTTTTGCTGTAGCCCAAGCTGGCCAGCAGATCATGCTGAGTGCCAGGACTACAGGCATGGGCCACTACACTCTGGTCTTGTAACTGTTCTTTTTGTAAAAAGTAAGGTCAATTCAGTGTGTGGTTGGTCCCAGCTGTCAGGAGCAAGCATTTCTTGTTGTTCATTGTTTAAAGTTCTGACTGATCCCTGTTCATCAGTGATAATATGATGTCACTAAAGACCATAACTTATTAAAAGTGCTTAGTCGGGAAAAGAAAGTGTGTGTGTGTGGTGGGTCATAGGCCTGAACTCTGGGCCTAGGCACTGTTCCTCAGATCTTTAGATCTTCAGCTCAAGGCAAGCTCTTTACCACTTGAACCACAGCGTAACCTCTGGCTTTTTCTGCGTATGTGGTGCTGAGGAATCAAACCCAGGACCTCTTGCATGCAAGGTAAGCACTCTACCACCAAGCCACCTTCCCAGCCCAAAGAAGAGATTTTTATCTCCCCCTTCCCTTACTGGGGAGTGAACTTAGGACATCCAGCATTCTCTCCATGAGCTGCACTCCCAGCCCCAAAGATTTTTTTTTTTTTTGGGTCTGGTTGTGGGGCCTGAACTCTGGGACTGGACGCTGTCCCTCAGCTCTTCAGCTCTTCAGCTCAAGGCTAGTGCTCTACCACTTGAGCCACAGCACCACTTCCGGCTTTTTTCTTTTTTGCTTATGTGGTGCTGAGGAATGGAACCCAGGGCCTCATGCATGCAAGGCAAGCGCTCTATCGCTGAGCCACCTTCTCAGCCCCTAGCCCCAAAGATTTTTATCCTGAAAACTAGTTGTGTTTGGAATATACACAGAACTAGAAAAATAGAAATAATGTGGTTTTTGGAACCCTGAAATAAGATGCAATAGTTTATGGATAACCAGGTACTTAATATCTGTTATAAAGAGATAATTTGAGAAAAAAATCTCAAGAAAGTTTTATTTATTTTGAAACAGGGTCTTGTTAGCTAGTGCAGGTTGGCCTTGTGCTTGGAATTTTCCTGCCTCACCTTCCTAAGTTCTGGGATTACAGGTGTGTACCACATTGCTGGCAAGATTTGAATTTTGAATAGAAAGGATTTGTGTGGTTTAGTTAAATGGCTTCAAATTAGGCAATGTGGGCTATAATGGATACTCAGTATTGAGTGATGAGATACTAATTGCAATATTCACAGTACTATTAAAGTGATGAACTCAACTTTCTTTGAGTACAAAGTTATATATTTGGCAATACTGAGGTTTTAACTCGAGGTCTGATACTTGCGAAGCAGGCACTCTACCACTTGAACCACACCCCAAGACATTTTTGCATTATTTGTGTGTGTGTGTATGTGTGTGTGCCTGTGTGGGTGTGTGCCTGTGCTTGTGTGCGTGCACACGTGCTGGTCCTGGAGCTTGAACTCAGAGCCTGGGCACTGACCCTGAGCTTTGTTGCTCAAGCTGGCTCTCTACCACTTGAGCCACTGCTCCACTTCTGTGTATTTGCTGGTTAATGGAGATAAGAGTCTTATAGACTTTCCTGCCACGGCTGGCTTCAGTACTCAGATCTCACCTTCCTTAGTAGCTAGAATTGTGTTAGCCACCAGCTTATTTGATCTTTTTTCCCTGGAGTTGAACTTGGACCACAATTCTGCTGGGCCTTCGGTAGCTGGGATGTTATCATAGTTGCTCTTGATAACTTTATGTCTGTGCTGGTTTCAAACACTGATCCCAAATCTGCCTACTGAGAGTTGGCATTGCAGGTGTGAGCCACCATGCCTGGCTGAGTTCACATAATCTTTTTGCTTGGCAAATGTAAAAACTGAGTACTGGGGAGCAAAGAAATTGCCTGTCCATGGCCCTTCTCATTTGAGCAGGGAGCCACTGTGATAATAAGTATGCTTTTTCCCATCCTGGATGTATACTTGGGAGTTTAATGTGTGATCACTCTAATTACTGTGTTTTACTCAGTCTGGGTTATTGTCTGTCTTTGCTTTTCTACTTACCACAATATAACATTAGAATCTAGAGTCAGATCTGGGTTTGAATGCATATCCCTCTCTCAAGAGATTCTACTTAAAATGTTTTTTTTTTCTTCAGGTGGTACTAGAGTTTTTTAACTCAGGGCCTCAGACTCTTTGGGAGCACTCTGCTGTTTAAGCCACACCCATAGCCCTCAAAAGGCTTTACAGTGATCCCTCACTTATCAGAGGAGTTATGTTCCAGAGACCCCCATGATAGTTGCACGTCTGCCAAGTAGCTGTATTAGATAGTTGGCCCTTGCTACAAGGTTCACTTGTTGCTACTTGGTGGATTTTCACCTATTGTGAGATCTCTGGAATGTAACTCCTGCAATAGGTAAGGGATCAGTATTTACTTTTTAAAAAAAATCTGCGATACAATGAAGCTGAAAGTGAACTGTGATATGGCAAGGGACATCTGTACTATCTACCATATGTTTCTCACTCAGAAAACACATGGAGAATTGAATATTACAATGCATGTAAAATATCTAGTGCAGGTGCCTGGAACTTTGTCTTCTTTCAGTGTTGAGCCACTGGTCAGTGAAATCATTTATTCTCAAAATCTTTATTGGTTGTTCTGAGTTTCTCTGAAGTCCTCAGGATAGACCTATGGACTTAGACAGAGAAAGCCACTGTTTTTATGACGTTTGTAGAAACAGCAAGAGAAAGAGAGGTGTGGAGGTAGGGAACAGAAACAAGGAAACACATATTTTTGGTGGTATTGAGCTTTGAACTCAGAGTATTGAACTTGCCAGGCAAGTGCTGTACCACTTGAACCATGTTTCCAGCCCCATTTTACTTTATATATGTGTGTGTATGTATAAAAAAAAATTTTTTTTTTTGGTTGGCCATGGGGCCTGAACTCTGGGCCTGGGTGCTGTCCCTCAGCTCTTCAGCTCAAGGCGATCGCCCTACCACTTGATCCACAGTGCCACTTCTGCCTTTTTTCTGCTTATGTGGTGCTCAGGAATCGAACCTAGGGCCTCATGCATGTGAGGCAAGCACTCTAACCCTGAGCCAACTTCCCAGCCCCCAAACTTTTCTTTTGCCAGTCCTGGAGCTTGAACTCAGGCCTGGGCACTATCCTTGAGTGTTTTTTTTTTTGCTCAAGGCTAGCACTCTACCTTTTGAGCCACATACCACTTTTGTGTGATATTGAGGAATGGAACCCAGGGCTTCATGCATGCTAAGCAAGCACTCTACAAGCAAGCCACATTCCCAGCCTATAAAACTATTTTTAAAAATTGTTACTATAAAGGTGATGTACAGAGGGGTTATAGTTACATAAGTCAGGTAATGAGCACATTTTTCTCTCCCATCCCTTCCCACAAGTTCATAGTTCAACAATAGTGCATTTCTCCACATAGTGTCTAATGAGTACCACTGCATTTGTTTACCCATTCATTTTACTTTATTTTTGAGATGGAGTCTCACCATAGTGACTTGGCTGTACTTGAACTTCTGTATTCAAGAGATCTTCTCACTTCCCTAGGCTGGGACGAAAGGTGTGTCCTACCACACTGTGCTAAGGGAGACTAATTTTGATAGGGTAGTCAGGGCAGGCCATTCACGGTAGAAGGTTTTGAGTGATTGGCCAAGATAAGGGAGGAGCAAACCATAGTAAAGAACCATATTAGGGCTGGGAAGGTGGCTCAGTGGTAGAGCGCTTGCCTTGCATGCCTGAGGCCCTGGGTTCGATTCCTTAGCACCACATAAGCAAAAAGAAAAAAGCCGGAAGTGGTGCTGTGGCTCAAGTGGTAGAGTGCTAGCCTTGAGCTGAAGAGCTGAGGGACAGCGTCCAGGCCCAGAGTTCAAGCCCCACGACCGGACCCCCCCCAAAAAATCAAAGAACCATAGTAAAGAGCCCAGTGCTGGTGGCTCATGCCTGTAATCCTAGCTACTCAGGAGTCTGAGATCTGAGGATCATGGTTCAAAGCCAGCCCGGGCAGGAAAGTCCGTGAGACTCTTATCTCCAGTAAACCACTAGAAAACTGGAAGTGGCACGGTGGCTCAAAGTGGTAGAGCACTCGCCTTGAGCTGAAGGAGCTCAGGGACAGCGCCCAGGCCCAGAGTTCAAGCCCCATGACCAACCAAAAAAAAAAAAAAAAAGAAAAGAAATTACTGGGAGAAAAGCTTTTTCTTTGCAGTGTTGGGAGGGTGAAGGTGCTTGACAGCAAGATGAGGCAGGTGGACAAAGAGTGAAATGTGGCCTGGTGGAGGATTCAGAAGCCCCTGGCTGCCAAGTGTGGGGCTGGGAAAGGTGGGGGAGTTGGATCCCGGGAGAGCCTGAGTTAGCCATAAACCTG